GCAGCCACACAGCTCCTGTTGTTTTCATAATCTAAATTTTGAGCTTTGTTAGTGTCCCCTACTAAAAACACCTGAAGATAACATAAGAGATTTTAAGAAACCCAGTAGTGGGTCTCCATTATCAAGAGCAACTCAAAGTCAGACCTTTACCAGGAAATTGCAGCCAGGCCTGTACATTTTTAGACTGAGAATACTCTGATCTACGAGTATTAGATTTACTGCTTTGGGCAACTTTGGCATATCTCAAATATAGAAGTGAAATATAACATAAAAAAACCTTTTCTTTCTCCAGCTTTGAAGTTATTAGGCTCTGCTGTGTAAAACCTGGCATACACTAAGTAGTAAACCTTTCCCTGATAGATGGTAACAGCTCCTCTGTGTCTCCAAGTCCCATTTGATGGAGGGATTATGCACTCAATCAACCCTAATGGCTCCACTAAGACAAACCATCTATGGTGTCTGACTCCACACACACCGAGCCATGTGCCAAAGCCAATAAGCAAATACTTGGAATAAACACTTCAGATTCCTCTCTGCAGACCCCAACGACCCACGGTATGAATAGTTATATTTAGCTAAATATACAACCCATTACCTCAAAAATTGTGTATTTCCTGTCTCAAACCTATAGATACAGAGGATTTCTCAGTCTTTTCAAGACATCCTGTACTAGAATCCCAGAATAGCTACAGACAAATGGAAAAAAGAAAAAAAAAAAGAAAAAAGGAAATGTTGACCTATTTAATAGAGAATAAGCCAAGACATTGAAAACCACCACATGACCAACATTATCCATAGAAATCCTCATATCTTATCTAGATAGATCAAATGCACAACATATTATGCAGAATTTCCAGGGGTGTCTAGGGAAGGAAATCTATTTCTGTACTGCTTAATGAACCTGCACCAATTTTTTAAAACAGGTTTACAAGGGAGCTGTTGGTATAAGGGATAAAGGGGAGAAAATTAGAATGGAGAACAGTCTTCATTGCTGTATATTGTCAAGAGGTCTACTCCAAAAATTAACTGAGATGAAAAAGTGAAATGTGACATCCCAGTTATCATTGTTTACTAAAAAAAAAAAAAGAAAAAAGAAAAAAGAAAAAAGCTACTATTGAGCTATTATTACTTGAAGATAATATTCTGACAATGAGTGTTTAGGATTGAGGAAAAGGAAGTTCAGAAGAAAATCGAAGTTCAGTTAAGAAACACCTGGAAACTACCTGGAGAACACTGCATTAGTCTCGCTGAAATACAGCTAATCTTACATAACATCAAATTCATAAGTCCAGGAGAACCATCTTAGTAGCTTTCACACCTCTCCACCTTTGCTCTTTACCTAAATAAGAAAACTTTCAGAAGATCTGTATTATAACTAGGACATAACAATTTTGCCTGGTCCAGAGACATCAGTGGAATTAATCATAATCATTACTGTACTGCATAAAATCATTACCTCATTTAAATTTTCTTTGCAAAATACTAAGAAATTAGTCCAATTAGACACTTGTCGACAATCACACACTTCTGAAGTTCTCCCTTTTCTCATGTGCCTTCAGGGCATTCCCCAGAGCTGGAACAAATTATGCTCACAAGTACCAGTATTTAGAAAACATTTCTGTAAACTAAGATATAAACTAGTTCAAGTTCCTGACTGTAAAAGTAAACAGTTTACAGTTTCTGCTCTGTTTCACACAAAAAATATTTGTAAGGCACCTGTAAAGACTGATTCACTGAGTTTTTTATGATGCAAAGTACTTATCACCTCTATGAATTCAAAGTCAACAATAATATCCTTGAACATCCTTAATGCACATTTACTTTCTATAACAGCAACTCTAAATTCTCCTGTTCAACAAAGTGAAAACTTTAGGATTTACTTCATGACACTGGAGACAAGACTTCAGCCAGCACAAATGTATATGGAAGATGGAATATATCAAGACTGAACAAGAAATGTAATTCTAAAGTTAACACTAAAATTAACAGAAATTAGCTCAAGCTTAATAACTACGATTATTTAGCCTTCCTCCCAAGGCAGAAGTTTGATCCCACTAATGTTAGTACATTACTCTAGGCAATGATCTGCCTTTATGTAAAATCAATAGTGTTTGCCATAACTACAAAGTTACTACAGCAAGTCCATGCTCAAAAAAAAGAGGCTCATAAATCAAAAAGATTCTGTTTCTCTCGTTATTTCAGAAGGCTTTGCATAAGCCAACATTCCATAGTATTCCTCCTGGTTTCTACTCCATAATTCTGGTGACTTTGCGAGAAAAAAGCCAAGGCCTTACATCCGTATGTATTTTGTTGCTTGCTTGTGTGCCTCTCTGCTCAGTAGTGTCAGGTCTCCCAGATTAGTACTCGTTCAGCAGTACTCAGGTTAGTACTTGTTATGTTATACAGACCATTGTAAAATCAAGTGTTACACAATACATTTTATAATTAAGTAGATTATCATCTTGATTCGGAATCTCTTCTAAAATTGCAGTGAAAAAAAAGTAACATGATTGCCTGGTTTTAAGAAATAGGTGGCTTCTTAGAGTAAAATAAACTCAGAGCTTAAATGTTTTAGGCAAATTAGTAGGACAAAATTGTCAATACACTTCCCCCTGCCCTCCTCTAAGTTCTGTAGATAGTCTGAAGTGACTTTTCTCAGAAAGGTCAAACATTTCATTATAGAAAGACAATAAACTGACTACAGAATACTAAAAATAATACTCCATTTTATAGTTAGTCTGTAAGTGTCAGATCACAGTATTCTGATATGCTATCACCTTTCATTCGAGACCAAATTTCTAGGAATCATTTAAAGAAACAAAGAAAAGGCTCCCAAGTACCTTTTCAATCTTTTCCTGTGAACCTTCCAGTTCTGAAGGGATGTGAGGATAAGAAATAACTGTCTAAGAAATAACTCTGTACATCCCTCTCTCTCCTACCCATGGTGCTTTTAATGAAAAGCAATGGTTTAAAACACAATGCAATTTTCTTTCCTCTGCACTTCAAACTCCCGAAGGTAGAATACTAGATTACAAGTTTAGTGATACAGTTTGGAAGCCCCTTTTAGCCACTTAAAAATATCTCCCAAGTTGCATGAGGCAAAGTTACTCAGTTTTCCTGGTATCTTGAAGAAAAGCAGTATCAAGCTCTGTCACCACTACCTCCCTGTCTCCTGTACAGTAAAACCACCTGTAATGTCATCCTCAAATTGGGCCAAGAGCTGTATTTTACGTTACAAAAAAACTCCTGCACATCACATAAGGCATCCAGCTTGAGAACAAATGTTTGCCAATTCATTCAGTGCAACATGGCTGAGAACCCAAACATGACACTGAGAAATTAAATATTTCAGGAGTAGAAGGATATTAACTGATGTTTCCAAACATTATTTTTAAATGTATGATTACAACTACAGCAATAAGCCTAAAATCACATTTCTATTTAGAAATGTTTCCTTAAAATCTCTTAAAAAGTAATGGAAATGTTGCTTCAAACAAACTTCCATTCACTAACATTTCACAAAAGTATTTATTTTGTGTTCCTTGTTGCTACCATGTGTCAGTGTCTTTATTTTGGCCTTCTTTAATATGTCCACTAGGAGTATTAGACCAATTATGTATCTTTGACCAAGTAAGACACAAATTAAGATAAAAACTTCAAAACTTGACCACAAACATTTCCAAATAAGAAAAGTCAGTGTTAGAAATCTAAGCCAAGAACAGCTTCTTCTGAAGTATGGAGATTTCTCCAATTTTCTCCATACCTCGTGAGTGTCCCAGGTGATGAAAGTGAAACACAGAAAGTGTCAAGTTATTATACTAGGAACAGGTTCAGTATTCAAGTACAGTCAGTCCCAAGTATTTAGATAAGAAAAACAAACATCCTGGGAAAATTAAACCTGTAAAATCATCAACTCAGTCATCACCATCCAAAATAACATCAGGCTACAAAAAAACTTGGTAAGTTTTGAACACACACAGAAATCAAAGCCTCTTTTTTGTTTTTAATAGAAAGTGTCCTGCTAAGACAAAACAGCACCTTCTTTTTTTTTTTTTTTTTTTTTTTAATATAGCACAAGCAAAACTGAACCCTGATGGGCACGGAGCCGGGTTCAAGCCCCGGAGCTGGTTCAAGCCCCGGCGCTGGTTCAAGCCCCGGAGCCGGTGGTTCAAGCCCCGGCGCGGGTGGTTCAAGCCCCGGCGCCGGTGGTTCAAGCCCCGGCGCCGGTGGTTCAAGCCCCGGCGCCGGTGGTTCAAGCCCCGGAGCCGGTGGTTCAAGCCCCGGAGCCGGTGGTTCAAGCCCCGGCGCGGGTTGTTCAAGCCCCGGAGCCGGTGGTTCAAGCCCCGGCGCGGGTGGTTCAAGCCCCGGAGCCGGTGGTTCAAGCCCCGGAGCCGGTGGTTCAAGCCCGGCGCGGGTGGTTCAAGCCCCGGAGCCGGTGGTTCAAGCCCCGGCGCGGGTGGTTCAAGCCCCGGAGCCGGTGGTTCAAGCCCCGGAGCCGGTGGTTCAAGCCCCGGAGCCGGTGGTTCAAGCCCGGCGCGGGTTGTTCAAGCCCCGGAGCCGGTGGTTCAAGCCCCGGCGCGGGTGGTTCAAGCCCCGGAGCCGGTGGTTCAAGCCCGGCGCGGGTTTCAGGCTCTCGCCCCGGCCCCGAGGGTGCGGTGCGCGCGTGCGGCCGGCAGGGGGCGCCGTTGCTCGCAGGAAGGCAGCTCGGCCCGAGCGGCCCCGGAGCTGCCGCAGGAGCGGCCTCGGGATCCACCGGGATCCATCGCTCCCGATCCATCGCTCCCGATCCACCGCTCCCGATCCGCCGGGATCCACCGCTCCGCGGACCCCGCTTCTCTCCCCCGCCCCGCCCCGCACCCTCTCCTGGCGGTGCGGGAACTCCCCCACCCCCGACTCCCGACACCGGCGGCCCCGCCCCGGCGGCCCCAGGGCACGAGGCCGCGGGCACCGCTCCGCCCTGGCAGGGGCGGGCGAAGCGACGCCCCCCCCCAAATACTCACCATATTGACTTCCGAGACCATATCTATACTGGCAATGTCTATGTTCATGCCCACAGCCACTGGGGGACCTGCAAACCGACAAGATGGTCCGCAATGTGATCTCTATGAACTTAACTCATTCTTACCAGAGTTCGCTAGGCGAAGGCAGCGTACACATGAAACGGCAGAAAATCAGGAGGAAGGCAAGAGGTGCTCCCCACTTCTTCCCACCCCTCCGGCAAGCGGCTGGTCCCGCGGGACCGAGCCGTGCCCGGGCTCACCCCCCGCGCCCCACAGCCCGACGGGGCTTTATGTAACCGGCACACACGTGCTGGCACCGGGGCCCCGCTCCGCTCCCTCCCCGGCCGCCGCCCGCCCGACACACCGGCCCCGCACCAGAGAACGGCGGCCACCGAGCCCCGGGGGAGGGATGGGGGGACAAGGGACCACCCACAGCGAACACGTCCGAAATAACCAAATTAGTTAGCACTCAGGGGGTTAAACGACATTTTTGTATCAGTGAACAGCACATCTTGTACTCAAAAATAGTAACTGTGATTACAGGCATATTAAGCTGAAAGGAACAAAGGTTGGGTAAACTTAGGAGAGATTTGCATCTCGATAAAATCAGTCAAACGAGGGTTTAATTACGGGTTAATAAAGTATCACCACACACACACACGCAAAATGAGGGACCGATTACGAATATGCAAGTGATTTAAGGGATCGCATTAAGAGCATCCTGTGCTAAGAAAATTGAGAAACAATGGGTTTAACTTTGGATCGGCTTAAGAAAATGGCAACACCCCCCCACCACCAAGCAACAGCACCCACCACACGTCTGAAACCCCCCCCCACACCAAAGGTACACAGCCCGGATATGCAACCTCTCTTATTCAAAATCAGTCCAATTACCTCCAAAATCTGGCCTCAAGCGAATATCATAGCCCTTCAGCAGTCTATCCACGGTCTCTTTCACCAGTGACATATTACTAGGGTCATTGACACTAAAGAAGAAAAAAGAACAATACTACATTATTCCTGATTCTCAGCCCCCAGCTGTACATTCCTCTCAGTAGCAGCATGCACTGCAATTCAAAGTAAAGGAAAAGAGATACCTTCATCGCTTACCTCTGTGCGCACACCACGGCTATTATTAAAGGGAATGACCAAATCCCAAAGTAACCCTTTCTCCGGACTCTCAGCATCCCTTTAGCTTTTGATATGATTTAGGGTTTCAGTGAAGAGAAGAAGAGATCCAACTTATTCTGGCCAGTGCAGTAATTCTAATGTGAAGCGCATGCGCACGGCGTACCACAACATCAAAAGGAGCAGTGGTTGCTGCTGGAGATGGAGCAAATTTCCTTGCCCAAAAAAAAAAAAAAAAAAAAAAAATTAAAGGGGAAGAAGGAAATGCATTGTTAAAAAAAAAAAACAAAACCACAAACCAACAAAATAAACTCAGGAGGATCCAGTATATTTTTGTTGTCCTTTTTGTTAGTATAGAATATAAATCAGTGCAAGAAGAGAAGTTTCAGGAGTTGCAGGGTACGGCGGCTTTGCAACCTAGTTTAAGGAAGTGGGGGGGCCGGACGGACGGACTCGGCTCAGGCAGACGGAGAATAGGTTAAAAAGGGGAATGCACAGCGTACGTATGGGGGCAGTTTAACTTTTTGGTCCCTGGAGAGAACCTCCTGAAGCGAGGAAGGTGCGGGCAAAGGAGCTGGCACTGGCAACGGGGGCGGGCGGGGGGGAGGAGGGGAGATGGGCGCCTACAGTATTTCTCACGGAGAAAAAAAACCGATGACGAATAGTTTCTTGCAAGAGAGGATTAGGCTGTTTCTTCCCTTACTGTGATGCCAGGTGCTATTCCAGGAGCAGAGGCGCTGGGGACCGAGGGGGTCGCCGGTGCCACCGCGGCTCCCGCGGGTCATTGGCTGGTGCCTGAGGGGCGGGCGCGGAGCCCCCCCGGCCCCGCTCCCCCCGGCGCCTTTGCCACATACCGACCGATATTTAACCCGGGGATGCAAGTTCTTCAGGAGAGCGAAACCTGCCCATGGAACTGGGGGAGGGAGGGGAGCCGAGGGGAAGAAAACCACCACCCTGGAAGGTGGATGGCTGACCATCCAGACTCGGTGTAGGTGCATAAGGCCACTTACCTTAGCGGTTAAAACACCCAAGCTCTTCAAACGCAGCGTGTGATCCAGTTAATGCCTCGGAAGAAACAGGCGACGAGCGGAAAGCTGATCTGGAGATGCTTTGAGTGACATTTAAATCGTGAGCAAAAAAAAGATAGAAAGGAGAAGGGAAAAACCAGACTCACGAAAAACAACAAACACCGGAGCTAAATTATTCCTCTCAAATGTGCTTTGTGCTCGTCGCTCTTTACACCACCTCCTCCTCACGCACACAGCCGCCAGCCCCGCGGATCTGTGCTGCTCCACCGAGCGGATCTGGGCGGGCACCGTCCTCGCCCGGCCCGGGTGCGCGGACAGGGGATTGGGAACACTTAGGGAGTCAGTTAACAAAAGAAACATTTAACTCGCTGCAGGAGGGTGGAGGAGAGGGGAGAAAAAAAAAAAAAGAGAAGAAGGAGAAAACGGCGGGTGGTGGGGGAGCCCGGTACCGCTTGGTGCCGGTGCAGGGTGAGGCGCTCCGGAGCTCCCTGCCGTGCCCTGCGCCTCCCGCACCCGCGGAAAGCGGCGGGCCCGCCCCTGAACGCAGGGGTGCCCGGCCCGGCCCCAGTCCACACCCGGACCGGCTGCCGGAGCGCCGGGGGGCCCAGGGCCGGGGGGGCTGTGCGGACGGACGGGGCGGTGGCTCCCGGGGAAGGGTTGAGGGGAGGCGTGGGGTGAAGCCTCACCTGGGGGGCGGAGAGGGGGGACAGCTGCTAAAGAGAGACGGCAGAGCTGCTAAAAGGAATGAACAGCCAGAGCCTGGCGCAGCCGGCAGCCCGGAAAGCTGGCAGCCATTTAACACGGCCCGCAGAGCCGTGGCTGGAGCGCTCGGCAGCGGGGGAGCCCCGCAGCTCCCACCTGCCAGCGCGGCCCGTCCTGGAGCGGCCCCTCTGCCCCGGGCAGCGCTCGCACCGCCCCGCTGTGCCTTCGAGCTCCAGGCAGCACCTGCTTGGGCTTTTCTTACGGCAACGAACATCCAAACACATCTTCTGGGGGGCTGGGGGCAATTCGTCAAGACGTATTTTTACCGCCTTCTCCTGTTTGTTACAATTGGAATTACACAAGGTGAGAAAATACACTTTTCCAGCTGAAATTGCCAAGCGTGTGCGTGTGATAAATGTGTCTCGTTCGTGTATTCACAAGAAAAAAAAAAAAAAAACACGTTAAGGAACGTTTAAGGATTTTTGAAACCGCAACCCTGACAACCCCCACCTCGTGTTTCAGCTTTGCTCCGGGGCCGGTGTTCCAGAGCCGCCCTCCCTGTTCACCAGCGGAGGTTTCTGTTCTCACACAGCCAGGCTGCCTCACTGCCAAACCTCTTGAAATTTAGCCCTGAAAGGAAGATGGTGGATACGCCGTGCAGTGAATCATTTTACTTTAGATCTATAATAGGCACCTTTTTCCTTCTGCAATCATGTGATAAGAGCAGGAGGTCTCAAGATAAAACTTTTGAATCCTGCCCTGTGAAATTCATCTGCAAATGTTAACTTGGGACTACAGTTGACACTCCTTATTTCTGAGCCGTTTCTGAGCCTCTGCTATTAATTGCCATTACAGCACAGAATGACACAGAAATGTGTCATTCACCATGTCTATTATGAACAAGATATCAACATGAACCTGATGCTGAAGGCTGGTAATATTCAGTGTTGCACTGACGGGAAGTTTTGATTTACATATCAACTCCAACTCGGGCAGAAAACTCCCACATTTTCATTGAATGTTAAAATAGTACACAAAAAGAATCCAAGATATGCCAAAATATCTAGCATTTGTTCTTTACTCTGGTGTACGCACTAATACTCAGGGAGCACTTGTTCTGGGCCCAGAGCACCACTGTGCCTTGTGTAGTGAAACCTGCTCTGTCTGGCTCTTCCAGCAAAAAGGACTGAATATATCTCAAACGAATTCAATACAAGCGGATATTACTGTGCATTATGTGTGGGAAAATTAAAGTATATCCTTGGGTTTGGGGCATGTAAAGGAACTACTGAACCATATTTGGGATGATCTGCATAACTTATTATGGCTATAAGAGCACCACTATATAAAAGGGTCTATGGCAGTAACACTCTCTTAGCACCATTCCAGGATCTGTGTGCCCAGACCAGCCTATGACACATCATCATTATATATTGACAGAAGTACAAAGTCTCGCAATACTTTGCATTTTGAAAAGGTTCTCATACTTTGCTATGCACTTTTCACATTACCACTCTTTCTCTGACCACAAGGTTCTAGTCTGTCTCTGCTATTTAAAATTTCTTATCAACTTCGGAATCTCCCATTTATTTTAAGCAACTTGTCAAAGAAATCGTTCCCCTCTTTTTCTCACTTGTGTCTGTGTGTTTGATTGAAAATTAGAGGAAGTAACTGGTGTGAACAAGACTTTGGGTGTCTTACAACGGGCAAATAACCTGGTTCCCAGCTGGATATGGTACTTGCAGCCCTAAAATTATCTCAATTAGCCTACAAGTACCGTAGTCTCACAGAGAAACCAGCAAAGAAGGTCATATTTTAAACAGCAATTGTAGATTATTTTGATTCTCAGCTTTCAAGACTGAAGAGTGCAAAAAAACAGCCCCCAAGCTGAAATCCTCTATACAAATAGCCCCCAGCCCTTGCTGGGCAGTGTGAGACACTGTGAAAGAAATGGGCTATAATGGAACATTGTACTTCACTTGTCAGCCCTTGACTGTGGCAGTATTTTCCTGTCACCACGAGTAATATCCCAGGCCATGTTCTAAGGATTCCAAAGGATTTTCAAATGGCTTTCTGTACATTTATACATTAATGAAAAATAAGCTTTCATATGGAGTAAGAATTTCAAGATAGGTTCTCAAGTGATCCAATCACTCCAGTCAGTAGAGACAGAAGAGATGGGGATTGATGGCAGCTCAAGAACGGTAGCCCTGTATCACAAGTAATATGACTAACAAGTGCAAAATTCTGCATAAAAAAAGGATTCTTTTCACTGCACCTGAACAGGCTGGTATGAATACAGTTCTATGAAAGTGATGTTTCCAGAGCTTTTGAGCATTTGGATGAGGTGCAGTAGTACAGAAACACTCAGGTAAAAGTTGATTCCAGTTATCAGATAAGACATAATTCTCTAATTTACAGAAAAATGTTAATAATAAAATATTTTGATACATTATGTCAATTTCCAACTCCTGTAAAGCCATAAATTCATGTAAAAGAAAACAAAATATAGTCAGCCCTCGTAGAAATTTTCCAAACAAGGTTTCAATATACTTTATCTTGTTTCACTTGTCATTTTTGGTCTTCAGATCTAAGGTGTCCCAGTCCATGCATCACATAGCATCCCATTAGCAATCAGCCTGTCAGCATAAAGATCCCTGTTACATCACATACACAGAAAAATTATTCATGCAGGTGTACCTGATTCTGCTTTTCATGGGCAGTGGAATTCACTCCTGCATAGTGACAATCTTCTGGGATTTACAGATTGACATCAACTTCAGCTTCTATATATCTGAAAGAATCCAAATTGGCAAATTTATTGTCAAAAGCAATAGTGGATGACCTGCCAGTTATACTGCTCTTGGCCCTTAAAAAACTATGAAATTAATAGTATTGTACAGAAACTGATTCTGGTAAGTTGCTTAGGAATCAAGTACTACCTGATACAAGCATGAGCTTCACTTAATTGTAAGAGAAGAGCAAATGGGAGGGGCAATTAATAATCACTTACTGGTTTGTATAATTATGCTGGAGCTCCTACTTCTGTCACTCACTGCATGCAGCTCCACAGGGTTACAGACACCGTAAGGGAGAACTTCCCCCAGTTCATGACCCAGGCTATGCTTTATGAGTCAAAGACCTGCTATATCCTTTAACAAAAATCTTTTGTGTAGCTTGAGATCAGCAGATCTTAGATGTATATTGAAGAAAGTCTTTTAATGTGAAATTGAATTACAGCTTAAAAGAAAAAAAGTAAAAAGATGTGCAAGACATCCCCGAGTGCTTTGATTGCAGACAATTGTCAGCAACTCAGTGGGGACCAGAGTGAAACACAAAATGCCTGGCACCTGGAATTACAATGGATTGAGATCTACAGTCCTCTTATCAAATTATGAAAGCACCACAAAAAGCCCTATTTCCTTCAAAGTGGTAGAATAAATTAGTTTAAGAGCTATATAGACAGCATTTTAATTCCTCAGTTTTAGCTACACTGGCACTTAGATAGTTGGAAATATCTGCAGTATACACACCCTTTGATAGGAAGGCAGGGCAGAAGGAGGGATTGCACAGAGTAAGGATACTAAAACACTTAAAAGACAGCAAAAAATGTCCACCAAGATTATGTCACTCTGTGTCTAAATCTCCTCCATGCTGTTTGTGTAAGATTCAGCCCTGAAAGAGATTGCAAAAAGCTGTTATTAAATTAATGGAGTGGCATTCGTCTGCATCAGCTGATTGCAGGATTTGATCTTCCTTTCTAAGTTCTCTTGGACAGAGAGTTGGTTTCCTAAATTTTTTACACTGGGGAATACATTCCAAAATAGTGCTGTAAAAAATATCTGAGGGTTTTAAAACTTTTTTTTTAATCAAAAGATTCCAACCTAAAAGTTTTCTTTTTAAAGCCACGTAGCTTCAAACATCAGTCCTGGGACTGGTATAACTGTCTGCAAGTTTTAAGATAAAAATGGAAATCTACCTAGTTTGAGCTGGATATTTCTTTAGCTGGAAGGACTTCACTTCTTCAGAAAACTCTTTCTCCTCATTACCACCACCTTGAACAGGTGAGGGGACAATAGGAGGACAATTCAATAGAAAGAATTTAAGGAGAAGTACTATCAGTGGGTATAAGCAGTACTCAACCTGCTCTCCAGGCAGTTTTCAGTAAGAGCTGGAGTATACACGTCTGTATCTTTGTAAAACAGATTCCAGTCATCCTTTTGTTGGTGTTCTAGAATGAGAGATGAAACTCTTTCTTCAAATGTATAGTGCTATTACTTCAAGCCTTCTTCCAGATCAGAGAAAACACAGTACTCTTCACTTTCACCTTCTTTCAAGCCCATCTCAAATGTGCTTGTGTCAATAATCCTATTCTTTACTTGCTGTCCTAAAACCTCAACTAGTCCTGGTGAGGAGGATATGTTCCCCAGTGCTGCAGTAAGCAGAAATACGTGTTTTGTAGCACATTTTGCCCCTGACTGATCCTTTTACCTTTTGGCCAAATGTTTAATGGAATTGATCCTTGTTTAACATGTGATCTGCCTTTACAATGCTAGAAGGTAGAAATCTCACTGACAGATGTTTCTGTTCAGCAGCAATTACCAAGTCTGAATGGCACAGTTTTGCTGAGTTGAGAATGCTTTCAAAGAGCTGCATTTTGCATTTCTGCACCCTCCACAGAAAGAGTATTGTTACTTAAAGGGTGTGGCATGGACACGGAGTGAGGGCCAGTCAAGGCGGCAAAGGCACCTGTCCAGCCTATGCAAAAACA